TCAGGTGGCCTGTAGTAAACCCCCACAACAGTGTCGCCCATGTTAGCCTGCCCTTTAATCCTTCCCCATAGGCTCTCAACTTGCTCTTCATCCACCCCGAGGCAGAGCTCCACACATTCTAGCTGCTCCCTCACATAAAGAGGTCCACCACCTCGTCTTCCTGGCCTGTCTTTCCTAAAAAGCACACAGCCATCCAGGACAGCATCCCAGTCATGTGAACTATCCCACCATGTCTCTGTAACTGCAGTGAGATCATGGTCCTGTGACCGCACACAGAGCTCTAACTCTTCCTGTTTATTCCCCATGCTGCGTGCATTGGTATACAGGCATTTCAGAGAGCCAGTCAAGCATGTAAGCTTCCCAGGAGAGGTGCAAGAGGATCCTCCATAGCCATGTCCCATGCTGTCTCCCCTGGCTGTATGCACCTGCTGGAGGCATCCTGACTCGAGTAGTGTTTTATTGACTACCCTGTCACTATACCACTCCCCTTCCCCCATCTTTCCTAGTTTAAAGCCCTCCTTACCAGGCTGGCCAATACTGTTGACAAAGACGTGCGTGCCCTGCTTGGTAAGGTGGATCCCATCACTCCCCATCAGCTGTTGATCTTCAAACAGGGTTCCATGGTCATAGAAACCAAAGCCCTGCTGCCAACACCAGCAACACAGCCAGTTGTTAACTTGGAAAACTCGTCTACTCCTCCTCCCGTCCTTTCCCCTCACAGGCAAGATTGAGGAGAAAACGACCTGGGCTCCCAGACCCTCAAACACCATTCCCAGAGCTCTGAAGTCCCGTTTGATGGTTTCCAATTTGCCTTTCGTGTCGTTAGTGCCCTGTCGTTAGTATTGATAGTATCCTGACATTGTTGAAACACAACCTGAGCGAAGCTATTCCAAATTATAGTGTGCCAGAATCTCGATGTATTCCTGACTAAGACAAATCTTCTGTTCAGCACTGCCTGAGTAAAAACAGCTGCAAATTGCATGGAGATGTTATTCCAGCATACCTTTTTTCTTGCAGCAAAATGGCTCCACCTGCGTTTTTCATCCTACTCTTTTCCTGTCTCACCTTCCCATCACAGTAAAGGAACTGATACAGTTAAAATATCCCTATGGAAAAACAAAAAAAAACAAAACAAAAAAATCTGTGGTGGGAACGGACAAGGTTCTTCACCTCTCCTTAACATCCATACACCCCCACCAAGGAAGTGATACGTGGAACATTATTTTGAGCTTTCACTGAGATTTGGTCTCTTGCTCATAGAACAGTGATTTATGCACTGACCTCGCAGACCACCGCCAACAAATGGCACTACATTTCTAGTTGATATAATGCAAACAGCATGGTGATATCCTTCTGCCTGTGCCTGCGAGCCAGGCTGAGTCCCCAGCAGGCACAGGGACAGGCTCAGGTATGGTGCAACTACACCAGTGCAGGCACTGCCAGGGCACAAGGAGACTTAAGGAGTGACATAGCCTCGTAATGAGGTGGACGGTGACAGTCACTCCCTTTTGATTCCTACTCTGCCCTTGAAAGCCACAGGCTGAGCTACAGAATAATGTAATTGTCCACTGGCTTCCCACTGGCAAATCGAGAAACAACTCTGATGCCGTCTATAACCACCAAACAAATATGCCTATCAACATCTGCCACGACGCTCCCACGCTGCATCCCTCCTGCAACCAGCCCCATTGGGTTGCTCTGACCGGTCAGTCTTTGTCCCAAGGACTAAGGCTGCAGGGTAGGTACTTCTTTTTCCTTCCTTCGTCCCATTTGGAGCATGAAGACATGCTGAGTTTGTGTCCAGAAACATTAAGATAAGTTGTGTATATTAGATGATGCAAGAAGTGATCAACTAATAGTTTCATAAGTGTCAGCACCTTGGTTTCCAGTGAACTTGCATCTTGTGGCTGACTGCAGGCTTCAAATGAAGTTTTTCTCATGGTGTTCTCTGTTTTATAAGGGCTCTCTTCCATGTTGCTTTATAGCTTCAGGCCACTACCATTTTTCCTAAAATAAAAAGTACCAAATATGTAAATACTTACTCCTTTCCACCCATAAGTGTATACTTAGCTCCAAATTATTCCAAAGTCCATGAATGGCAGCTTTCAGCTATGAACAAGTAATTTTTAAAGCTAAACATCCTGTGTTCCACCAAAAAGATGTGGTATCACTTCTGAGAGCTGGAAATCCAGGCTGCCTAATAATATAACCTTGTTTTTCCTCTTCAGAGCAGCCAAGAGACACCAGGCCCTAAATATGTTTTATTATTTATAGACAAACTATTTCATATAGTATTTGAGATTTTAAAAATGTATCATTTCTCATTCGCCTTTCCCTGTACTTGCACAGTCGGATTCATGGTAACTACGGCAACCCAGCTGCACAGGCTGAGCGGCACAGAAAATAGTATCAGTAATGACTTTTTTTTGTTTTAAATCCCGAAGTTCCTACAGTACTAGACAATGCTGAGTAATATAGAAACTCCAAAGAGGATAATTGGAAACAATGCGCTGATTCTTTTGCCCCCATAAATTTACCTCAGCTGAGAATTTGGCTGCAGGGTCTGAGTACCAAAGATGAATCGCGTGATATTTTCTCTCATTCCTGATGGGTAGAAAACATCACATGGACAACTGATCTCATTTTATTTTGACCTGTCAAACAGGAGTCCTCAAAAATAAAGCAAAACGGTTTCCCCTAGGATTTTGCTTCTGGTGAGACAAACGGATCCTCAGGAGAAATTCAGATCAAAGTTCTCCAAAGTAGAAAGAGCAACATTTAAGGTGAGGTCTCTTCTCTGGTACCAGTGTTTGAAGATGCAGTGGATTCATTTGTCTTTCATCTAGCAGGCACACTGAAACACTTGCAGCAGCTGCTTCATTTCAATACTTTGAAATGTATGTGAATAGGAGCTATATGTGATCCTTGCTGTCTTATTGGCTAGCAACAACTAGCTACTCTGCTAGAGATTTAAATGCTTGTTAAGGGAAACCAGGCAAATCACTTGTAAGATTTTACAGTCGCAAGGCATCTGCCAAGTTCAAAGAAAACATTCTTCCCTGAGTGGTGGAACGGGGAGAGAAACGGGGCAAAAAGGGAGCTGGCCCAAGCAGGGTGAGCCCAGACTGGTAGTGAGAAAAGGAGCAACAGCTGCTACCAGTCCCAGCAGAAGGCTTCCCCAGACTTGCAGCTCCTTCTTCCTCTGGCAGGGAAAGCTTTGGTCAGCAGCTGGCTAAAGAACACCAAGGGAAGCAATGCCAGAATTAAACATATTTCCAAAGCCAGGGAAGCATTCTGGTTTACTGCAAGGGGTAAGCCAGTATACTGTGGTTCATGCAAATAATTGCTGTCAGGAAAAAGAAGAAACTTACAGCGAAGTAAACTCCTCGTGAAGACAGGACATGGAGGGATATCCTCTTCCAGATTGTCTAGAGGCTCTTGAAGACCCTGCTGATGCAAATAGGAAACATCTCTTACAACTAAATACAGCCAAAGACATTGCTGAATTGTATTCATGCAAGGCTAAGCTAAAGTTATAGGGCAATCTTCTTTTTTTACATATTTTATCTCTTCTTTTTGAAGTACTTTTTTGTGAAATACATTTTACGTAAGTATATATCATGTTTTAGGAACAGATTTCTGCACTCCCCCCCCGCCCCCCGGCCATGGTTTTATTTGTGTGTTTACCTGCTTGTGAAACCAAGCTCCCTTAATACCGTATCGTCAGCTACTGGGAAACTCAGCCTATATGACAGCCCATTAATCTGTACAATATAAAGTAATATGATAATATAAGATCGAATTCTTTATACTTTCATTTTACTGATCAGCTATTGAGTTGAGACTGCAGAAACCCAAGCAACAAATCAAAGAATACAAAGGGTATTTGTGTGAGGTAAAAAGTCACTCTAGCATTGAATGGGCACAGGCTTAGTTATGAATGGTAGTTTTTGTATGAACTTTAAAATGCTTGTGTTCTTCAGGTAATTATCAATCTAGACACAGGTTCTACCCTTCTTTATCACAGTCCTGTTACTTATTTAATGTCCTAGGGCATTTTAAACAGAGCTTCCTATCTAGAAAATATTTTCATTTGTTCTATCATGCCTTAGAGAACAAAGAATACTCCAAGTTATATAAATTTCTTTCAGTGAAGTAACAATGTTTATTTCTACAATTTCACTATATTGCCAGTGGTGAATGGAACTCAAGGTCAGGAGAAAAAGAGTAATATTTAAAAGCCCAGAGTGTGCAAATCAAACATTTGTGTTTACTTTTGCCTCATCCATTCATCCTAGCTGTGCCACAGGCTTGTGATGGCATATTTATAACCTTCCTATTTGTCAGTCAAGTTGCAGATTACCACTGGGGTACAGGAATCTACCTACCTATTTAAAGAAAACACACCTCTTCTGTTACATGACCTACTGCTGCTGACAAGTTTGCCTAATGATCCGCTGGAGGGAGACATGATCAGCAGCTCTGGCAGCTCAGGCTTCCAGTTTCATCATTGGAGGCCAAACATATTAACAGATGCTTGCTAATATGCTAGCCCTGGCATAATAGGCTTTTTTCTTCTTCTGTCTTTGAAACACTTATTTGTATTCCTCCGCATAAGATATTTCCAGGATCATGTCGGAAGGAAGGACTTTAAGGCCTGTGTTGCATATCAGGTCAATTGCCACATGCTATGTAGACTGGAAAATAAATAAAATAAAGTGGTTACAGAGTTTCAGAGACTCCGAGGTCTACAGACAAGGGAAGTAGCTTTAGAAGAGGGTTCCCTGTGAGTGGGTGATCCTTCTTAGGACAGAAGAGAGGCTGAGGCAGCATTAGATGGTAGGAATTCCTAATCACATACGGCTGGTATCACCTCCGGGGCTGGAGGGCAGCATGTCTGATCTCTGGCTGTTGCTCCAGAAAGATGTCTTTAGGAGGTCCTGTGCCATCCTGGCCAGCCACAGGAAGATGCTTCATATATCTCATTTGCAACATGCTGTGTGCAAGAATTAATATCTGATACCTTTTCAGTTGAACTTTATTTCTTAAGCTTTTCATATACTCTTACACCAACCAGGCTAAGCTCAGTTGTTGGCAGACACTTTTCCTCCCTAGCAATGGATTTGGTCCATGGTAGATTTCAAATTGTTCTTCGGAAATCAAACAGCCACCTGCTTGCTAGGTGCATCCCAGGCACATTCAGCTTCTGCAGCTCTTAGGCATTAAAAGCTGGTTCAAGCCGTGCATTCATAGCTCTCTCCTTGCCCCAGGCAGACCCAGTTCCCAAGGGATGCTGGAAGGCTGCGGACTGGTTCACATCCCCGCCCGTAGAAGCATCCCTGATCTGTGAGAGGCCTTCTCTATTGCTCCTTTTTTTAAGCAATCTGTTCTCCTCTGCTTCTGAATAGGAGATTCAATAGTAATACCGGACTACAAGCGGAAAGGCAAGTGAAGGCTCCTCTTCAAGCCAAACAATCTCTCCATGAACACTGAAGCCGTGAAGTAGAGGAAAATAAATGCAGCTGTGGTAAATCCTTTCTTCAATGCATTGCAGCTTCTGGTGAAGCCGTTGTGTCATCAGGCATATGGAAAACTAGTGGAAAATATGAAATGTTTGCCTCTTACATGATAACTCTGCAACTGCTATGAATAAGAAAACTGTGTTCATCTGTTCGTTTACACGGATTTCTCATCTCTTGCACAATCTACGTGAGGGTGTGTCCATGGTTAAAACTTGTCACTGGTAAAAGAACTCCCTCATGCGCTTGGCACCACTCTGTAAAAGACCCGTGAATGCAAGCCAGCTCTTGTTTGGACTGCCCTTCATCAAGTCTGGAAAAAATTAAGAAGAGGGATAATTTTAACACTGCTGTGACTTCCAACCTAGATAGATAACAAATTGGGCTAACAAGGACTGTAATTAGGAATGTCTGCTCAGAAAGTTCACCATGAAGCCAAATTCTTCTAACAAGAAACATTCTGGAATATTAATATCCGCAATATCTACCCTCTATTTTTAACAAGAAAACTGAACGCAACACT